GTGACGGGCAAATGCAATACTGAAGGTATCGATCTTGATGTACCCTGCCGAGGGCTGTGCTGTGCTGCGCCGTGCTGAATTGCGATGTGCCATGGCGCGACTGCGCTCTATAGCCTCGTGGATCGAGTCCTCCTTTGCATCCGAGTCCTGACCGAACTGATCTGGATCTTAAGCTCGAGCTGCCTGAACACATAGTAGCTGCCCCAGAGCTAATGGACAGGGGAACATGCCAGGAGGACGCGCCGCGAAACGTCCCAAGGGATGCGCCAGGCGACGTGCCAGGGGACGTGCCATGGGGTCGCACCGCGGGACGTGCCAAGGGGACGCGCTACGGAACGTGCCAATGGATGTGCCACGGGATGTGCCAGGGGACGCGCCACGCGACGTGCCAGGGGGACTCGCCAAAGGACGCCCCACGGAACGTGCCAAGGAACGCGCCAAGTTGCAATGCTGAGTGTATCGACCTTGATGTACCGTGCCGAAATCAGTGCTGTGCTGCGCCGTGCTGACCTACGATGTGCCATGCCGCGACTGTGCTCTAGTGTTGTCGATCGAGTCCTCCGTTGCATCCGAGTCCTGACCGAGCTGATCTGGATCTGGAAGCTGAAACCGTCGAAGTCCTCCCGAAATCAGTTCCCGGCCCCCTCCAAGGGTCCAAACGCACAAGTTTTTGGAGCTGCGTCCAGCCGGGGCGACGAGGACGGCCCCCGAGGGCCAGAAAGCCTCAAGACTCGGACTCTGAAGTTCGAAGCTCGAACCTCGACGTGACCTCGGCCAGCTCCCCCCTCGGCCTGCCCCGGCGCTGCGGGGGCGGCCGCCCGAAAAACATGTCGGGAAGAAGGCGCAGCTCGAATGCAGGACTTGACACGTGTCTTCCTCCTCCTCCTCCTCCTCTTCTGCGTCCTCCTCCTCCTCCCATACATCTAACAGAACTCGCCTGAACGCACGTGTTGGAGCTGGCGTCGCAGGTATCGTGTGTACCCGAGTAAACAGATGTCCCACAAGCGCAAGGCACGGTCGTCGCTGCTGCCGTACCGTCGGTAGTGCTGCATGCTGCCTCGGGCGATCCCAAGGCCCTCTCGGACCGTCTTGGAGCTCTTTGGGGGCCCTGAGGGAACTCTTTGGGGGCCGTGTGGACCTGGGAAGCCTAATCTATAGGCACATACGTAAGAACACACGGATTCGCTGGGGGCCTGGATTACGCTGGATCGTCGTCGTCGTCGCCGCCGCCGCCACCGCGACGTCGTCGTCGTCGCGCTGTCCTCGATCCCTCGATCGTGTAAGCGTGGGCTCTACAGACCCCCAAGAGACCCTCCAAGAGAACCCCCGGAGACCCCCCCACGCAAGGCTCTAAGATGAGACTTTGTCGTCGTCGTCGCCGCCGCCGCCACCGCGACGTCGTCGTCGTCGTCGTCGCGCTGTCCTCGATCACTCGATCGTGAAAGCGTGGGCTCTACAGACCCCCAAGAAACCCTCCAAGAGAACCCCGAGACACCCCACGCAAGGCTCTAAGATGAGACTTTGTCGTCGTCGTCGCCGCCGCCGCCACCGCGACGTCGTCGGATCGTGAAAGCGTGGGCTCTACAGACCCCCAAGAGACCCTCCAAGAGAACCCCAAGACACCGCTCCACGCAAGGCTCTAAGATGAGACTTTGTCGTCGTCGTCGCCGCCGCCGCCACCGCGACGTCGTCGTCGTGGGCTCTACAGACCCCCAAGAGACCCTCCAAGAGACCCCCCACGCAAGGCTCTAAGATACGACTTTGTCGTCGTCGTCGCCGCCGCCGCCCTGTCCTCGATCCCTCGATCGTGTAAGCGTGGGCTCTACAGACCCTCAAGAGACCCTCCAAGAGAACCCCAAGAGACCCCCCCACGCAAGGCTCTAAGATGAGACTTTGTCGTCGTCATCGCCGCCGCCGCCGCCACCGCGACGTCGTCGTCGTCGTCGCGCTGTCCTCGAGCCCTCGATCGTGTAAGCGTGGGCTCTGCAGACCCCCAAGAGACCCTCCCAGAGAACCCCCGGAGACCCCCCCACGAGAGGCTCTAAGATGAGACTTTGTCGTCGTCGTCGTCGCCGCCGCCACCGCGACGTCGTCGTCGTCGTCGCGCTGTCCTCGATCACTCGATCGTGAAAGCGTGGGCTCTACAGACCCCCAAGAGACCCTCCAAGAGAACCCCGAGACACCCCACGCAAGGCTCTAAGATGAGACTTTGTCGTCGTCGTCGCCGCCGCCGCCACCGCGACGTCGTCGTCGTCGTCGCGCTGTCCTCGATCACTCGATCGTGAAAGCGTGGGCTCTACAGACCCCCCAGGAGACCCTCCCAGAGAACCCCAAGACACCGCTCCACGCAAGGCTCTAAGATGAGACTTTGTCGTCGTCGTCGCCGCCGCCGCCACCGCGCGTGGGCTCTACAGACCCCCAAGAGACCCTCCAAGAGACCCCCCACGCAAGGCTCTAAGATGAGACTTTGTCGTCGTCGTCGCCGCCGCCGCCCTGTCCTCGATCCCTCGATCGTGTAAGCGTGGGCTCTACAGACCCTCAAGAGACCCTCCAAGAGAACCCCAAGAGACCCCCCCACGCAAGGCTCTAAGATGAGACTTTGTCGTCGTCATCGCCGCCGCCGCCGCCACCGCGACGTCGTCGTCGTCGTCGCGCTGTCCTCGAGCCCTCGATCGTGTAAGCGTGGGCTCTGCAGACCCCCAAGAGACCCTCCCAGAGAACCCCCGGAGACCCCCCCACGAGAGGCTCTAAGATGAGACTTTGTCGTCGTCGTCGCCGCCGCCGCCACCGCGACGTGGTCGTCATCGTCGCGCTGTCCTCGATCCCTCGATCGTGTAAGCGTGGGCTCTACAAACCGTCAAGAGACCCTCCAAGAGAACCCCAAGAGACCCCCCCACGCAAGGCTCTAAGATGAGACTTTGTCGTCGTCGTCGTCGCCGCCGCCGCCACCGCGACGTCGTCGTCGTCGTCGCGCTGTCCTCGATCCCTCGATCGTGTAAGCGTGGGCTCTACAGACCCTCCAGAGACCCTCCAAGAGAACCCCAAGAGACCCCCCCACGCAAGGCTCTAAGATGAGACTTTGTCGTCGTGGTGGACGCCGCCGCCACCGCGACGTCGTCGTCGTCGCGCTGTCCTCGACCCGTCGATCATGTAAGCGTGGACTCTACAAACCGTCCAAGAGAACCCCAAGAGACGTCGTCGTCGTCGTCGTCGTCGTCGTCGTCGTCGCCGCTCCCAGAGCCTTCGGGGCCTCTCCTTGGCCCTCCTACGGAAAATCCTGCAAAACCTAGCGAATTAGTCGAGACATCCTCGAAATTCCTGCGCGCTGGACGCGGCACGCGCGAGACATCCTCGGAATTCCTGCGCGCGAGTCTTCCTTTGCATCCAAGTCCTGACCGAACTGATCTGGATCTGAAGCTCGAGCTTCCTGAACACATAGTAGCTGCCCCAGAGCTAATTGACAGGGGGACATGCCAGGAGGACGCGCCGCGAAACGTCCCCAGGGACGCGCCAGGCGACGTGCCAAGGGACGTGCCATGGGGTCGCACCGTAGGCCGTGCCAAGGGGACGCGCTACGGGACATCCTCAAAATTCCTGCGCGCGGGACGTGGCACGCGCGAGACATCTTCCGAATTCCTGCGAGCGGGACGTGAAAACAAGCATTTCGCCTGAGACATCCTCTGAATTCTGGCCCCCCACGAGGCCCCCGCTCGAGACATCCCCAAGTTTGCAGAAACCAGCGTTTCGCTCGAGACATCCTCAACAAATTATGAAAAACAAGCGTTTCGCTCGAGACATCCGGTCAAAATTCTAAGAAATCCTGACAAAACAAACGAATTAGTCGAGACATCCTCGAAATTCCTGCGCGCGGGACGCGGCCCGCGCGAGACATCCTTGGAATTCCCGCGAGCGGGACACGAAAACAAGCATTTCGCCTGAGACATCCTCTGAATTCTGGCCCCCCGCTCGAGACATCTCCAAATTTTGCGAAAACCAGCGTTTCGCTCGAGACATCCTCCACAAACTATGTAAAATAAGCGTTTCGCTCGAGACATCCTGCCAAAGTTCTAAGAAATCCTGACAAAACAAGCGAATTAGTCGAGACATCCTCGAAATTCCTGCGCGCGGGACGCGGCACGCGCGAGACATCCTCGGAATTCCTGCGCGCGGGGCGCTTTTCCGAGTCGCGGTCGGGGCTCCAGACCCCGTTATTTTTCGAGGATTCTGCGAAAAACGCTCCGCACCCTCTTTTTTACGAGGGAAAGCGGGGGTCTGCGGACCCCGTTATTTATCGAGGATCCGAGATGGGGGGCGAACTTTCCTCGAGCGGGCACGCACAAAACGCACTTTTTCTAAAAAAATCAGCACTTTACCTCGTTATTTATCGCAAATAATTTCGCCGGCGCTTGACCCGTCAGATCCGGGGGTAAACGGCTAAAAGAGAACCCTGGGCCCGCGCCCTTTCCGGGAAAAAGCGACTGCCTTACTTGCCCATACGGGCCTGGGCCAGGCTCAGCCACACGAGGACGCCGCCAAGTACCCGAGCCCCCGCACTGTGCGGGAGGTCAGCTGCGAACGCCGCCTCGGAGTCCGAGGGCACCCATCCGCCTAACCCTCTCCGTTTCGCGTGGAGGAGGCGACGGAAGTGAGAAAGGAAAGCGACAGCCCGCAGCCCAGGAAGCGAGGAAGGACAGCGGGCCAAGGACAAACCGCAGCCGAGGAAGGGAGCAAGGGAGCAAGGACAGCAGATGAGGAGGAAGAGGAGGAGCAGGAGGAGGAGAGGAGGAGGAGGAGGAGGAGGAGGAGGAGGCGGCAGCGAAGAGGGTGGAGGAGGAGGAGGAGGAGGAGGAGCAGGAGGGAGGAAGGAGGAGGAAGGGAGGAGGGAGGAGGGAGGAGGGGGGAGGGGGAAGGGAGGAGGGAGGGAGGCAGCAAGGGAGCAAGGGAGGGAGGAGGCGGCCGTTGCCCCTGAGCGGTCCCGCCATAAACTTTCCCAGCAGCGCCTCCGCGTCCTCCTCCGCCGCGCACCGCCGCGGCAGCTGCGGCGATCCGCGCCCTGCGCCCCGGGGCGCCGCCGCGGCTGGCGCGGCGGCGGGCCGCCCGAGCACGACGCGCCTCCCCGCGGAGCGGCGGCGCCCCGGCGGCGGGGGCTCCGCGCGCGCAGGCTCGCGCGCGTCCTCCTGGGGGGAAGGGGGTCCCCCTCGCTTCTGCTCCTGGCGCCTGAAGCCTCCCTCGCTTCTTCCCCCCCCTCTCGCTTATCCCTCCTATCCTCCTCCTCCTCCTCCTCCTCCTCCTCCCGTGTTCTCCTCGCTTCTCCACCTCCGCCTCCTCTTTCTCCCCCCCCCCTCCAGGGGGGGGGGGCGCAGGCTGATGCCTGACATCGGGCCACCCTGCGCACGCTTTTTGGGGGGCATCGCGGCCGCGCGCGCAGCGATGCGGCGCAGGTCGTGCAGCAAGCGGAGGCTGCGAGAGTGCGCGCCGGGCCCGCGCCCAGAGCCTCGGGACCCACGCGGATCGTGATGCTGGAGACGCGGACCTGGGCGTAGGAGAGCTGGCTGAGCTGTTCCGCGGTGATCGCCGTGGCCGGCGCGACCGTCAACGGTACCGTCACCGTGATCGGCGATCAGGTGATCACGAGAACAAGAAAACGATCACCTGATGGTTGTGATGGTGGTCGTGTTTGCGGCCATGCTGCCACTAGTCGTGCTGAAGTTCATGCCGATTGTCGTGCTGTCATACTGGTGGTCGTGCAAGTCGCATTGAAGGTTCTACTGGTGACCGTGAGGTGGTCGTATTGGTAGTCATGCTGGTGGTCGAGTGCTTGGTGGTCATGAGGTGGTTTTACTGGTGGTCGCGTAGGCTGTCGTCCACTGTGGGCGTGCTGTGGGCGTCGAGCTGGTCGTGATCGTCGTAGCTGTGTGTTAAGGTAGGCTGCCGTAGGTGTGGTAGTCCTGCTGGTGTGCTGCCCTTCAGTGCTATCGCGTAGTCCAGTGGTCAGGCTGCTCGCTAGGCGCTTGTACTCTAGCACGTGGTATGTTTGGGTCGTAAGAAGGGTCTAACTGTAGGTACCCTACGTAGACAGATGGAAGTGCGAGTGTTGCATTTGTGTCAAGGCCAGTGCTAGGTTCTGTGGAAAACTGACGGAGGCCCGTCGGTAGATTGTATGAGCCCATGAGCCCTGATTGTGTAGTAGGGCTGCTGGGCTGTCTTAAAGCATTGGCATCGCTTGTGTTGTGTCGTGACGAGATATTCCGTGACCAATGTAGGAAGGTGCAGGGCCATTAGTATTGTCGGAGTTTGGGCTGGCTTGCAAAAGGTGCCAATAACTTGTGTCGCTGATGCTACTTGACGGAGCTGAGGTATCTGTCGAATACTGGGTGCGCTTGAATGCCATCTTGGTTGGCTGGGGGAAAAGAACGACAAAAACTTGCGTGTCGTTGCCGATGCGTAGCAATACCATCATGCGTTGTACACGCCTGCTGGATATTCTTGTGCGCAGAATTTGTCGAATCGACTGGTTGTGTGCACCCCAGTCGATGTTCTGCGCTGAGGTTGTCCACGTGTAAATTGGTTGACTTGCAGTGACGGCTGCTACCTGGCTTGTATGATTCGTTGAATCCATGTTGTCAAGAACCTCTGATTCTGCTAGGTCAAGTGGTGATGAATCGCTGTCGTACCCAACGCTAATTCACGTTAATTTCTGTGTGATGCAAGTGCTTGCTTGTCCAGCGCAACTTTTTCGGAGTGGGGGGAGGAAGAGGGAAGAGAGAGAGAGAGAGCGCGAACATCCGATGAACATCATAACCCCAATCGCTTCGCCACGCCCGTCAGGATGCCCCGTCCTCGGGCAAACAGCGGCAATAGGCGGAACAATGGAGTTGGACTGCAGCTTTCCGCGTCCATCCCACCAGAACCACCATTCGACGGCGCTAGATGAACACTGGAGCACTTAAAAGAGAAGGGGAGGAGGAAGGAGGAGGAGGGAGGCAGAGGAAGAGCAAGGGGGAGGGAGGAGCAAGAAGGACCGGCATTGCAGACACAGAGTGCCAGACAATCCAGCGGCGCCGCACGTGACAAACCTGCCATAGGCGAGCACCTGCCGCGAACTGGGCCTGAGAAATGAAGCATCGCGCAATGTGCGGCAGTGCGTGACCACACAAATAGCCAACCGTGAATTACCACGAGCGGACTTGCGCAATGCAGAATGTTCGTCTGCAGAACATGGCCCCCTACAAAGCGGAACGAAGCATCCGCGACGCAACATGCTGACGAGGCATCGGCGAAACAATGAGACTGAGTCATAACTCTAAATACAGGCAACAAACTGGCACAAGCGACGGAAGCAATACACAACACCAGGGGGAGACGAGCGGAGGGGTGGCAGCTCCTTCGCGCCGAGCCTCGCTGCCCGACTCCAGGCCGTGGTGCAGGCATGTACGGCTTGACCAGGAATGCAAGCGCGGAAAAACAACACACGGCAGACGATGTTCACCAATCGCGCCCCGCCCTGTTGGCGGGAATACAATGTTAACAAATTGCGCCAACCACCTGTCGGCGGGAAGACGGAGATTCGATCAGTCATCATACCTACCGGCAGCCAGCCTCCTCCCAACAGCGAACACCCCCGCGAGTTTCGCACCCGCGCCCGCAAGTACAGCACCCCCCCGGTCCAGCAGCAAGCTGCAACGACGGGCGAGAACCATGGGCGAGCGGGGGCTGTACCAAGCCTTGGCCAAGCGAGGGGCGCGTCCGCAGGCATCCGCGCGCGGACGCACGCGGCCGCATCCTTCACACTGCTCGCAACCAGGGACCGCCCTCGTGGGGCGCGAGAGAGGCCAGCGCCCAGAGGAGCGAGAAAGGAGGAGAAGGAAAGACGAAACGACGACGACGACGACGACGACGACGACGACGACGACGACGACGGCGCCGACGACGACGACGACGACGACGACGACGGCGGCGCCGACGACAACGACGACGACAGCAGGAGGGACCTGTGATACGGGGTGGCCTCCTAGGAGACGGCTGTGGGAAACTACTGGCAGCAAAAACTTCAGGCAGACTGCCGCCCAGAGCCAGGTTGCAGAGTTTCGACTCCGGACGACGCGAACCTGTACGCAGCTCGCCGCGGAACACGATGCTGCACGGGGAGGGGAGAGGCGAGGGGGAGGAGCAAGCAGGCAACGAATCTAGCCTTCGCGGCGCTGGCGCCGTGCGCGAGCCAAAAGATTCCCGAGTTGGCCGTCCGTGCAAGCCTCTTGAACGGCAGCCTTGAAAACCTGCCCCGCCTCGGCCTGCTCCGCGGCCCCGAGGCGAAGCGCAAGATCGGATTCGTAGAGGGCGCAGACACTGACACCGCGGAGAGCTTGCGCCTCCTCGCTGGTGGAGTTCGCTGCCGAATCTCCCAGTGATGGTGGAGCCTTGCAGTCCCAGAAAGCAGCTCCAGCAGGAGGCCTCGCTGGAGCGCAAGAACGCCCCGCTCCACCTGAGATGGCACCCGCATGCCGCGTGATGCCGGATGCTGCCCGCACCTGCGGGGCAGCCCAAGACGCATCGCGCGCCCCGCCTTGGAAGCGGTGGCAAGCAATCCAATCGTTCGAAGCCGTGCGGAGGGCGGAGGCCAGCACGCAGGAGGGGGCAGCCGCACGGCCCAGGACCTCCAGATGCTTCAAACACTGGCGCACGCGAGCGCCCGGAAAGATCGCCATTCGCAAAATGCTCTAAGCGGCGGCGCAAACAAAAACAACGACTGCGGCAAACGAGCTTTCCGCCAGCAGCTCACGGACCCCCTTTGCCTGTCCCGTCGCCTTGCGGCGAGCCAACGTAGCCGGGAGCGCCGAACACGAGCCGATGCTCCAACTGGTTCACACAATTCGCCGCCGCCTCCAACACGAAGAGGGAATTTCCGTCCAATCACTTCTGCACCGCCGGTGGTAATACAAGCGGCGCGTCGCGCTCCAGCAAGCAAGAAATTGCGAAGACGCGCGGCCCGGGAGAGAACTTGAAGCCCTCTTTGCCGGAAGGCTTTCACATGGAGACCCTAGCCTGCGCGACCAGAGCAGCGCAACGCATGACCATGAGCTTGCCAGGGAAGCCCATCGTTCGAAGGCGGACCATAACGTCTGGCCGCGGCCTGGAGCCCGGCCCCGGGAACAGCTGGGCGCATAGCTGCCGCTCAACCTGCGCGTAGGCAGGGGGAAGTGGGCGGATCTGGGTAACAAACATCACCACGGAGGCAACGAAGACCCAGAAGGCGTCGCACGTGAGAAATCCGCCGACCCTGTCGGCGTGTGGAATGGGTTGTTCTTCTCGTCCGTGCCTCATTCCCTTTCCCACCTTCTCCGTCTCCTTCTCGTTCGTCTCCCCCTCTTCCTCCTCCTCCTCCTCCTCCTTCTCCTTCTCCTTCTCCTCCTCCTCCTCCTCCTCCTCCTCCTCCTCAACCTCCTCCTCCTTCATCTCTTCCTCCTGCGTACAGGAACTTGACTTAAAGGTTTCTCCTTCCCTTTGTTCCCTTCCCCGGCCGGGGGGGGGTCCCAGGGGAAGCTCGGGGGGGGGTCCCGGGCGGTGTCCCGGGGGGTGTCCTGGGGGGGGTCCCAAGTCAGAATACCACCTCCCTCTTCCTTGGGGGTCCCAAGGGAAGCCCCGGGGGGGGTCGTGGGGGGGGTCCCGGTGGGGGGTCCTGGGGGGAGGATCCCGGGGGCCCCGGGGTTCCTGGAGGGGTCCCGGGTCAGAATACCACGTCCCTCCTCCTCCTCCTCCTCCTCCCTCCTCCTCCTCTTCTCCTCCTCCTCCTCCTCCTGAGCGTCTTCCTTCTCCATCTCCTTTTCGTTTGTCTCCTCCTCCTCCTCCTCCTCCTCCTCCTCCTCCTCCTGCTCCTCCTCACGCACTTCCGCCGCCTACCCTGTCACGTTGTCCTTTAGCTCCTTCCTGTGATGACACACACACACACACACCGTCGCCATCGACGGCCAATACCTTCAGGGTCGGCGGCACCGGCCGTAAGGCCTTCACAATATTCCTAGCCCAAGACCGCTCCATGTCCTGGCCCATTCCAACATTGTCGTCAATGGTGCTTCCCAGCTGCTCTCGTCCGCCCCTGGGCCCAGGACAAAGCCTACGTGCTTCGCCTGGTCCTTAATCACCATGGCCCCCCAGGCTGGCGACTCAGCAGCTATGTCCCTCCAGAGCTCCATGACCGAATAACTACTTGAAGAGAGGCGCGGTCACTCGTCAAACAGCGCTTGGAGGAGCGGGAGCCTCAAGACCGCCCCAGCCGCGACGAGGGCGAGGTCGTCGGCATTTGCCCTGACAACGGCGTCTGGCATTAATCGCTGAATCCGGCATAACAGGATATCCGAGGCGACTGCGAAGAGAAGCGGCGAGAGCGGACGGTCATGCCGCGCATCGCGAATGAGCGCGAAGCCCGCGCACCGCACTCCCTTCATCGCGATGTCGCAAAAAAATGTTCTGATACAGCGCCTGTGCGAAACGTACCAGCCAGTCAAGCCAGCCGAAATGCCGCAACAGCCGCATCAGGAAGGCGTGCTCCAAGGAGGGGAACGCGGCCGGCTCGAAGTCGAAGTATGGCCAGCGCTCCCGTGTTCTTCGCATACTGCACCGCCATCTCCTCGTCGACATCCACGACGTTGGCAAGCATGGACCGCCCCGGAAGGAAGCCTCGCTGGGCGGGGGAAATCCTTGCCGCCACCGCGCCTTCGATGACCAACCTCAGTGCGTTCGCGAGGAGCCTGTTGTCCACGCTGGACACGTTCGGCGGTCTCACCTGCGCGACACCGTGGAATTGCTCCCCGTCGTCAGCTTGCTCCGGCGACCCCTTCCCCCTTCGGTAAGACAAGAAAGCTATGATTGAAGTCCGGGGCATGCTCCTGGAGCCGACGAGCACCGTCTTCACCGCATATGTCCCCGAAGGTTTCGTAGAGCATGCTCGTGGCCAAACCTTCAACCTGTCTCCATGCCAGGACAGGAAGTCCGTCTGGCCTTGGGGAGGAGCAGCTCGAGCTCCGGATGGCAAGCCTGATGTGTTTCGGTCGCAACCTGAAGCTGCGAGAAGAGAAGGGGTCGAGGTGAGACAGCGGGCGAGCATCCGCGTCGTCCTCCAACCACTCAGTCAGCTTCGCTTCGTCGATTCCCCGCGCTCGATAGACCCCTGCCCAATCCTCGCGAAGAGCATCCGCCATGCCGTCTGGCGTCGTTTGTAGCTCCCCCCGCCTGTCCTGCACCGCGTGGACCGCAGCAAAGTGGCCGAAACCTGAAAATCAAACGATTAGTGCGGGCCATCGCCTTCGCGGCCTGGAACGGGTCGGAACCGTGAGGGGCCTCGTGGGACTTGGGAACGAGCCAACTCGAGCGCGTGACATGATGCAGTTTGCTTGCCACGTTCCCCGTGAAATCGTATGGGCAATCGATCAGTTTCCGTAGATGAGGGTACCGGGACAGGCAAGATGATATGCCTCCCGGCAGCCCCCGCTCGAAGAAACGAAAGAAGCACATTGTGACCCCCAGCCTGCCGCCGAGCGTCTCAGGCGGCGCGCAGTTGGAAGGCTCCCCCGCCAGGCGACTGCCAACCGGCCGCATCGCCCTTTTGAGGTGCCCCAGCTTCTGGCTGCCCACGTCGTCCGGACGGAGCCGAATGAGCTCACCGTGCTCCAACTGGACGCGCGGGGCACCATCTTGGTGCCGGAGGGCCTGCTCCGGGACTGGGCGCTGCGCAGCAGGCGCGCGCTGCGAGGCACAGAGGGCGCAGGGGACCGCCTGGAACGCCGAGAGGCAAGTTCTCCAAGGGAGCGCACAGCAAGAGAGGTGCCGGTCCAACTGCTCAGCGACCGGGTGGTTACAACACAGCCTGTCGGTTCGGGGCCGCGAGCTCGCCGAAGAGTGCGGGTAACCAGTCTGGCTGGTGCATCTCATGGCTGTGTGATGCAATTGTGCTCGAGGTGTTGTTGGAGGTATCTTCCCTCCTCCTCCTTCTCCTCCTCCTCCTCCTCCTCCTCCTCCTCCACCCCCTCCTCCTCCTCCTCCGCCTCTCTCCTCCTCCTCCTCCTCCTCCTCCTCCTCCTCCTCCTCCTCCTCCTCCTCCTCCTCCTCCTCCTCCTCCTCCTCCCCTTCCCCCCCTTCTCCTCGTTCCTCGCTGAATCGGCGATGCATCGCCGATAGATCGGCGATAGGCCTCCGATCGGGAAACCCCTCTCCTGGGCAGGTAGGGGCGCCCAGGCCTGGATCGGCGACAAGATAGGCGATTGGGAGCCATTGTCCCCCCCCCCCCTGAGCGATCAGTGGCGATGACTACAGTCGGACTTGATTGGACAGGACGCGCGAGAGGACACAAGACCCTTCCAAGGGCCACATTGCCATAGGAATGTAGGAGGCATGGGTCGCGATATACAGGACACAAGGGTACTCTTGATTTGGGAGGGTCGACCTACTAATCAAGGCCGACTGTAGGCCGTGGCGTCCATCAGCACGGAAGAACAAGCCAGGTGCCACCCGCAACAGCACGCCGCAGCGTCGAAAAGCCTACTACAATCAGAGAGCAGCGGCTCAAAAAGATCGGCCTGAGAGGGCACGGGGTCCCATGGTCCACGGAGCTCGCTGTAAGACGGAGGGGGGAGCAGAGCAAGCAACAAAACCATGGAACCCCCTCCCCTTCCTGCCCCCCTTCGAAGTTCGCGATTGTTTCACAGGGTGGAGCCCTGGAGGCCTAGACCCCGGGACCGAACTCTCATCCCGAGCCGTGCTCTGGCGGCCAAAGGGCCCAGCGACGGCTCCAGGAGGAGGAGGAGTGCGAAGGCAGGCCCAAACCATCAGTCGTGATTCCCTCGCAGCGCGAGGAGCAGGGGGCCCCCCTTCTCCATGCTTCTCCTTTTCCTTCTTGCGTCGTGAGACAAACATGAGCACCGAGCCGTTCCTTTCATCCTTTTCCTCCTCTTCCTCCTCCTCCTCCTCCTCATCCTCCTCCTCCTCCTCCTCCTCCCCCTCCTCTCCTTTCTCACCCTCCTCAGCCTCCGCCTCCCCCTCCGCCCCCATCCCTCCCCCTCCTGTGTCTACGACGACGGCGACGGCGACGGCGACGTCGACGACGTCGACGACGACGACGTCGTCGACGACGACGACGACGACGGCGACGGCGGCGGCGACGGCGGGACGACGACGTCGTTGGCGGCGGCCAGTGGCCTCCGAGGACGCGCCGCCCCAGAGGCTCGGGCTGCCCGGGCCGCCGCCCCGGAAGGCCACGCTGCGCGGGTGCGGCTGGAAGCGCTGCGGCGTGGCGGGCGCCTCGCCGCCGCGGCCGCCGCCGCCGCCGCCGATGTCGTCGTCGTCGTCGTCGTCGTCGTCGTCGTCGTCGTCGTCGTCGTCGTCGTCGTCGCGGCCGTCAGCATCGCCGTCGTCGTCGCAGTCATCTGAGCGTGCGTCGTCGTCATCGCGGTCGTTGCCGCTGTGCGGGGGGAAGGACGAGGAGGAGGAGGAGGCGGAGGCGGAGGAGGAGGAGAGAAGGGCTGTGTGAGCGGGGGTGGGGGGGGTGAAGGGAGAGAGAAGAGAAGGGGGAGGAGGATGAGGATGAGGAGGAGGGAAAGGAGGGGGCGGATAATAATTATGGGAAGGGGAGGGGGAAGAGAAGGAGGAGGAGAATGAGGTCGAATGCGGCCGAAGCAAAGGCTGAGGAGAAGAAGCAGAATCCTTAGACCCCTCTTCCGTCCGTTTGCCGTAACTAATCAGGCTCCTTCGTTCCGCCGCTCGTCATCCCCCTCCTCCTATTCCTCATCCTCCTTATGATGTTCATCCTCCATATCCTCTAACATTCCTCTACTTCTTATATCCGTTCCGCTCATTCATCGTCCTTTTCCTTCTCCCGCTCCTCCTCGCAGGCTATCATGCGCTCCAACCAACTCGGAAGCAAATAATGGTGAAGCCAATGCTGTATGAACTTGGACGAGCACGTTCCGCTCGCAATTCACTGCGATCCCCACTATTGTCTCTTAAATGTATGTGTTGGTCCTAGTGCGCGCACGGTTATGGAAACGGCCCAGCCGTAGTGTTTGAGACTGGCGTGAGCTACCCACTGCTGGCTCAAACAAGGAGCGTGGCGGTTCAGGCCAGCAGGCGCTCCTGAGCTACCACTACTAGCACGATAGCTTGCACCACATCGCTCGCACCGCATAGTTTGAGTACTGTATGTTACACAACGTAGCTTGCACCCCACCGCTGACACAGCAAACTTGCACCACAAAGCTTACACAACATAGCTTGCGAAACGTAGCTTGAACCGCTGTGCTCGCAGCGCATACCGCACACACACAATATATATATATATATATTACACCCCACAAACCCCACAACACATCTGACACCCCGGGCCTTCCGCTACGGCTGCTCGAGCTGCTTCCAACTTCAATCCTGTTTCCTGTCCAGCTTGCTCGAAGCACATTCGGATACCTTCAGTTTCCGCTACTGGCGGATCGAGCGCCGTCGTCATTTCGCTTAGCGACGATGTCCTCCAGCACAGCTCTAGCTCTCGGGTGAGGGGGCCGAACGGTCATTCACTGTCCGCGGGCGCGTGGCTGAGGTAGGGTTCCGCTGTGCGGACTGTTGGTCGTTGGTGTTGCAGTGAATTCATATTTCGAAAAAAGAAATGCTGTTGATCCCCCCCTCTTCGGTGCCCACTGTGTCTTTCAGTAGAACTGTTCCTCCTGGGGCTCGCACATCGGTTGTCACAAGGGTAAAGTTCGGGCTTCAGAATGCATTGCTGGGCCCCGAACTACAGCAACAACGGCTCCCGCCTGATACTTCCTCACAAGTTATTTCAAGCTCGCGCGCCACATTCCATGATGGATTCACGCTTCAGCGACCCGTGAGCTCGACCCCGCCGTCTGGGTACGCCCGCCCGACCTGCCCATGGGGGTCTGCCCGCCCGACCCGCCGGTCTGGTTGTGCCGCACGCGTTCCTGCTCCTATGCCTCGATTGCAAATCTCTATCGTGTTCCATCCTTCTTCCTCCCCCTTGTCTCTTCCTTCCTCCCTTACGTCCCTTGTTTGAGGGGTTGCGCCAACTAGATGTGGCAGGTGAGGAAGATCTGCACCCATAAGGTGTACGATCGAAGACGAACAGTGCGGGCATCGATGGTTTGATATACTCATGTTGAATGAAACATGGGCAAACAAGAACTAGCAATTTTAAACTGTCTGTTGTTGTTGCTGTTGAATTCTCCTTTCCAAAGAACAAATCTTGTTGATCCCCCTGGGTGCCCCTGTGTTCTCCAATTGAAGCGCTCCCCCTGGAGCTCGAACCTTGCTTTTCACATGGGCAGCCATTGCGCGTCAGAATGCGCTGTTGGCCCGGACCTACAACGACAACGACTTCCGCTTGACTTCTCCTCACAATACGTATATCCAACACCGCGATCTAGCGCGGGACTTCCCCGCGATTTACCCAAAAACGCGTTCCACGCAATTTCTTGAAGTGTCGCCCCCGCAACACTCAGGAATCACGCTCTCGCTCTGGGATTTACTTGGAATAGCGCCACCGCTCGAAACTTCTCCACGTTTCATGATGGATTCACGCTTCAGCGACCCGCCAGCTCGACCCCACCGTGTGGGCCCGCCCGCCCGACCCGCGCGCTTGGATCTGGCGGGCCATCCCGCCCGTCTGGTTTTGTGTTTTTCCGCTCATGACCCTCCTTCTGTAAATCTCTCTCGTGTTCCATCCTTCTCCCTCCCCCGTGTCTCCTCAGTTCCTTCCCCTGTTTAAGAGGTTGCGCCAACTACACGTGGCAGGTCAAAAGGATATACCCCCAAGAGGGGTACGATCGAAGACTAAGAGGGCGGGTATCGAGAGTTTGGCATGTACATGTTGAATGACACGCGAGCAGATCAGAACGAACAATCTTGAACTGATTATTGTTCTTTTTGTCGCCGTCCTCACCAGCGACCCACCCGCGACCCACCCCTCGACCCAGCCAGCGACCCATCCCGCGACCCACCACGCGACCCACCCACGGCACACCCACGACCCAACCGCGACCCACCCACACTGCTTCGACGAAATTTCGGCCCCTGCGGCCGGCTCTGTATGCAATGTGCTAAAAATCGTCGCCTGCGGCGGGCTTTCTCAGACCCTCGCAGACGGCCGACAACCCCGCTGCCCCCTCACTCTTACCCGCAACTGCCCCTGCGTTGCCACGTGCCGAACAAAGTATAATTATGTGTTGTTAAAGCCCCTGCGTTGCCACGTGGTGGGCGAAGTGGAATTGTATTTTGTCCGCCCCCCCCCTCCCCCCCAGTGCCACGTGATTGACAAAGTAGAAAAGTATCTCCTCAACCCCGTATGCGCTGCCACGGAACGTATAGCGTAGATTTCTATGTGCGTTGCCCCTCTACGCTGCCACAGGGCGGCTAGAATGGATTATGTGTTTCGCAATGGAGCATAATGTATTCTGCCCGCGGGCTTTGCCGCATGACGGATATGATAAACTCCCACCAGCCCTTTCGAGCGTGAGTGGTTTAGCGAGTTTCCTCTTCCATCTTCCCTCTTCCCCTCCGGGGAGAGGTTTACCCCTCCCCCGACCCCCTCCCCCTGGACCTACAGGGGGGGGTTCCACGGGTCGTTGGAGCGTCCGCGGGTGACCTAGTTGACACATGGGGACCTATGGGCCCTGATCTGTCTTTTTTTTCCGAAGCATCCCTCCTGCTCACCCTGACCTGCTCCGTCCACCGTCTGCAATGGAGACGGCCGAACGCGGTTCCACGGAGTCGAGGCGCGCACACGCTTGACATCGATTCAAACAAGCGGCAGCACGCTACGCCTGACTCGCGCGTGAAGCGCTGGCAACAAAATCTGGCACGCAACACAGCGCCCCCGCTGGCTGGCCGTCCCCTGCCTACTCCACCGACCGACTGCTCCGGCTTCTTCTGCCACCATCCCTCCTGCTCACCCTCGACTCCTCTATTCACTATCGGCAAACTGCTGATCGCGGTGTCACGGAAAAAAGGCGCGCACACGCTTGCCATCGATTAAAACAAGCGGCAACGCGCCAAGCTTGACGACCATTCGGACGACCTGGCAGCACATTGCTTTGCAGGTGGGAGTAGGGAGGAGGGAGAGGAGGAGACCGCGGCGAGAAGGCAAAAGGAGGGAGGAGGTGGAACAATAATGATGCGTTGGATGGTTGAGCCGCAAGAGACATGGGCGCACAAGCCTGGGTCCCCCATGGGCGCACAAGCCTAGATTTTGAAAAAAAACGTATGACGCTTCGCGGCAGCAGCTTCTGTTTGCACCGCTGACGAAACACCGCCGATGCGCTCACTCAAACACACGGCCTTGTCGTGGATTACTGGGGACTGCTCGCAAGTATTACCTTACACGTCAATTGCTGACGGCCCCCTCAACATCTTCCACACGGTCCTCCTCTCCATGATCACGTGATAAACGCTTTGTCGTACTCTTTCTCATATTCTTTCCGGCGCGAGAAAATGGCGCGCCGGGAACGATAATGCTAGTGAACACGAAACACATCACCAAAAGGATCGAACTGACCACCCTTGGCCCTGAGTTGACCTGCCGACCGACTTCCCGAGCCGCTGGGTAGCGCATCCACGTGACCGAAGTGGCCGCCTTTGGAGCCTCTTGGGGCGTCCTGGGTCTCTCGTGGGGGCTTCTTGGAGCTCTCTTGGCGCCTCCTGGAGCCTCTTGGGGCCGAAAGCTCGGAATTCTACAGTGGCTTTCTCCCTCTGGGACCCCTCTCGGGCACGCCTTGGGGCTCTCTTAGGCCATTTTGGAGTCCAATTTTGCCGTCCTGGGCGCCTCGTGAACCGTCTTGGAACTCTCTTGGGGGCCACCTAGGCCGTCTTGGGAGCCTCTTCGGACGTGTTGGACGCGGTGAAAACCCAACAGGCGACCATGCGAAAAGTATACGTTTTCCCATAGGAATGGGACCATTTTTGCTTCTTGGACCTCTCTTGGGGTGCCTCTCGGAACGTCTTGGGCTGATTTTGGAAGCCTTTTGGCGCCTCTGGGCGGCGTTTTGGCGCCTCCTGGGATGTGTTGGGCCGGAAGCTCGGAATTCGAGAGTGGCTTTCTCCTTCTGGGACCCCTCTCGAAGTCGTCTTGGGGTTCTCTTGGGCCGTCTTGGGGCCGTCCTGAGCCACTCGTGCGCAGCCTTGGAGCGCTCCCGGAGGCCTCCTAGACCGTCTTGGAGGCCTCTTGGGCCGTCTTGGACTTTTCCCATAGGAATGGCACGATTTTTGTTTCTTGGACCTCTCTTGGGGTGCCTCTCGGAACGTCTTGGGGTGCTTTTGGGAGCCTTTTGGCGCCTCTTGGCGGTATTTTGGCGCCTCCTGGAGCCTCTTGGGCCGGAAGCTCGGAATTCGAGGTTGGCTTTCTCCGTCTGGGACCCCTCTCGAACTCGTCTTGGAGCTCTCTTGGGCCGTCTTGGGGCCGTCCTGGGCCACTCGTGCGGAGCCTTGGAGCGCTCCCGGAGGCCTCGTAGATCGACCGTCTTGGGCGCCTCTTGGGCCGTCTTGGACGCGGTGAAAGCCCAAGAGGCGAACATGCGAAAAATATACGTTTTCCCATAGGAATGGCACGATTTTTGCTTCTTGGGCCTCTCTTGGGCTGCCTCTCGGAGCGTCTTGGAGGCTTCTGGGACCTTCTTGGTGTCATGACAGGCGTCTTGGAAGGCATCTGGAGCCATCGGAGCGCGTTCCGAAGCCGCCGGCGAACGATCTTGGACGGCGTCCGGCGGTCCGACGAGCCTCTGGGCCCCCCGGGGCCCACATTTGCGGTCGGGGTCCCGGTCCCGGCCCCGGGCCCCCGGACCCGGTGCGCCGTTATATGTATGTATGTATGTATGTATGTATGTATGTATGTATGTATGTATGTATGTATGTATACATATATATATATATATATATATATATATATATCGGAGGTTGGGGGGTGAGATCGAAGTGGAACGGAAAGCCCCCCTACCGGGAAATCGATTTCGGTTTCGTGTTCGTGCGTGCCGTGCGTGCGGGCGAGGCGCAGCTGGGTAAGCTGCGTGGGCGGGCGAGAAGAAAGTTTCCCGTGGCTGAAGCGCGGCCGGACCCAATGTTTGGCGACCCGGCGTTCGGGGCCGGGCGGTGTCCCGGATGTTCCGTGGTGGCCCCGGGCCAGGCGGTGTCCCGTGATGTACCGTGGTGGCCCGTGGTGGGCCGGGCGGTGTCCCGTGTTGTCCCGTGATGGCCCGTGGTGTCCCGTGGTGTCGAGGGTGAGATCGATAGTGAGATCAATAGTGATCGATGGTGAAATCGATCGTGATATCGATACTGAGATCGATGTGGTGCCCCGAGGTGTCCCGTGGTGTCCCAAAAAGTGATATCGATAAGGAGATCGATAGTGAGATCGACAAGTGCCCGCGGTGTCCCGTGGTGTTCCGTTGACTGAGATCGATAGTGAAATCGATAGTGAGATCGATGTGGTGTCCCGTGGTGCCCTATGGTGTCCCGTTGAATGAAATCGATAGTGAGATCGATAGTGAGACCGAAAGTGAGATCGACAGGTGTCCCGCGGTGTCCCGTGGCGTCTCGTTGAGTGAGATCGATAGTGAGATCGCCAAGTGTCCCGTGGTGTCCCGTGGTGTCCCGTTGAATGGGATCGATGATGGGACCGACAAGTGCCCCGTGGTGTCCCGTGTTGTCCAGCGGTGCCCCGTTGAGTGAGATCGATAGTGAGATCGATTGAGTCAGATGTTGATCCCCCCCTCTCCCCCCCCACAACCTCCTTATCACCCGAAAGGTGGTCGTATAGGTGTATATATATATATATATATATATATATATACACACACACCGTTGTACTGCACGTGTCCACGCCAATGGTCCAATAGCTCAGTTTCCCCCATCAGACTGCGGTTCGCCGCGAACCGCCCGACTCCCCCCCCCCGCAGCTGCGCCAAGCCCAGAGCAAGGCCCCCCGCAGCCAGAGCAGCCAAGCGTGGCAGTCCACACTGGCTTCACTCTGGCTTCACGGGCCAGCTTCACGACGGGGAGGGGCGTTTCAGGACCCAGGTCTCGCCGAGCCCCAGTCCGCGGCACCGCAAAGAACGGGGAAAACGCGCTATATCTGATGGGCTACGGCACCTCAGGCAAGCATTGAGCCGGCTAGCCTAAACAAGAGATCATTCTGGTGGGTGGTGTGTGGGTCGGGCGCCAGAACAGCTCTGGCACGGGGGGTAGACGGCGTATGGGGACACACGCACCAAATGGTATGTCCATACATGTCTGTATACGGACATACCGTTTTACGGCACGTGTCCACGCCAATGGTCTAATAGCTCAGTTTCCCCCTCAGACTGCGGTTCGCCGCGAACCGCCCGACGCCCCCTTTCCCCGCAGCTGCGCCAAACCAAAAGCAAGGCCCCCCGCAGCCAGAGCAGCCAAGCGTGGCAGTCCACACTGGCTTCACTCTGGCTTCACGGGCCAGCTTCACGACGGAGAGGGGCGTTTCAGGACCCAGGTCACACTGCACCCCAGTCCGCGGCACCGCAAAGAGCAGGGAAAACACGCTATACCATCGCCACCCCCTCGTGGCTTGCTAGCCGTGAAAATGCCGTTAATCTCTCCACCCCTCCACCTCATCTGCAGTGCATTAATCTGCTTTCGAAGTGGAAACTACGAGATCACTGCCAAAGCGAAGCTCGCGAGCATATACAATAACAAACTAATGCTTACAGCTCTGAGAATGCATGCAACAAACAAATCCATGCAAGCAAGCGGCGGCGGCCTGGTCCGCGGGCCAGGCGCGCGCGAGGTCGGCCTCCGCGCCCTCGACGCAGATGCGGGCCGTCATGCTGCTGGCCCAGCTGCGTCTCCCGATCGCTGCCTCCATGGAGGACGACCGCAGGAAGAAGTCCGAGGCGCCTCGTCGCCAGGCAAGCTGCCGCGAGTAGCGCCCAGGAAGGCCCTGGCCGTGCGCGAGGGCTCTGAGCGCGCTCCTGAGCTGGGCGGGCGACCTCCACGACTGGGCTTCGCTTGAGGGCCCCGCTGCACGGCCAGCCTGAGCCGCGCCCTGGCCACTGCTGACCTGACGACGACGGCCTCCGCAGCGTCCTTGCCAGCTGTGGTCTTGGACGTCTTGATATGGAGCACGACTGAGTACCCCGGCCGAAAACGTCGCCCACCGTCAACGCAAAGGCCTCGCCCCCCCGCAGCAGGCCCTCAAAGCTGACGAGCAGCAGGCAGCTCAAGTCGAACGCTCCGGCCTCCACTGCCAGGCTCGCCATGCCCGCGGCGATGTCGGGCGTGAACGGCAACGTCCGCTCTGCAGGTTCCACTCGTCGCCAGGCCTTCCGCAGCGCCCACGACAGGTCCAGCCTCCGCCAAGCCTGGGCAACGGGAAGCACGCGCCCGCGGCGGTGTCGCTCGTCAGCGCGATGCCTGCCTATCGGCGGGTACATGTCTGCCGCGATCGCCATGACAATCCAACCTCCAGCGCTGGCTGCATGCAGCAGCTGCTGCTGCGACCCTTGGGCACGATGATCGCTAAACCTGACTGTCGACGAGGTGGGGCCACCGCGCGCAGTGTCAAGCTGACTTCTGCGCTCGCCACCGCATAGCTGCCAGCATTGCCTGCAGCTCTCTGACGTTGATGCGCGCGCGCCTCGCGCGACCACGCCTGCTCAGCACGACGCACCACCGCTGCGCGAAGGGGCCCAGGCTCGGGCGAGGGCAGCGGCATGGCAGGCCGCAGTCCAGCCGCGCGTCCGAGCCCCCCCAACTCCGCGTGGCCCAGGTAGTGGGGGACGAGACGCCTGGCCTCCTCGATGTTCGGGTCGCCCGAGCTGTCCTCGAAGCCGCCGCGCTGGCCCCAGGTCTCGCGGCACTGGCCGACGCGCGTGATCTCGGGCACGGACAGGGGGGGGCGCGCCAAAGCGGACTCCGCCAGGAGGACGTGCTGCAAGGTCCCTGCGACCCATAGGCGCTGAAGCTGTGCCCGAGCAGGAGGGCCCTGGCGTCTGGGGCGGCCTGCGTGTTCGAGCACTTCGTGGCTACAGCGGTGCAACCCCCATCGAGCCCGAGCAGTAGTTCTCTCTCTCTCTCTCTCTCTTTCTCTCTCTCTCTCTCTCTCTCTCTCTTTCTCTCTCTCTCTCTCTCTCTCTCTCTCTCTCTCTTTCTTTCCGTGCAACTTGGCAGCCTCCCTGGCGGCCCCCCAGAACAAACATAGACGAGATTCTCCCCCTCGTCCAGCGCAACGCGATAGCGGAACAAATCTGCCTGTCAGCGATGCCGAGCCCAGGCCCCGCGGCGCCGACGAGAAGCTCAGCCCCCCTTCCCCCCCCCCCCCCCCCGCAGCACACCACCGTCGGGAAGGGGGGCGGCCGCTTGGCTCAGCGAAATTTCTGGCCCTCCCACTCTCGATGACCAGCAGCGGCCCGTTGTCTGCCATGACCTCGAGGTAGCGGCCCTTGTCGACAAGGCGCAGCGGCGGCGCCATCTGGGGCGACACGGCACCAAGACCGACGAGCAGGGGAGGTACGGCATAACCCCCATGCAGCTGGACATGGCCTGACGCTCCCGCCTGTCACCCTCGCCACGTTCTCGAGCAGCGCGTAGAACCGCCGCCCGAACGTCTGCCGCAAGAGCCAGAAGATCCAGGGCACCTCGTAGCACAGGGAGCCCCTGCGGCCATGCAGTCCTCCGCCCGTGCCAGCGACGCCCGCGTCCACAGTCTCCGAGAACGTGTCAAAGAGGTCCTGCACCCGGCCCTCGTTCCCCCGCGTCGCGCCGCCCCCGCCGATCGCGCCTGGCCAGCGCAGCTGGACAACGTGCCTGGCCTTCGCGTCGGTCTCGGCGGTGACACAGGCGACGATCCTGACGGGCAACTTCGAGAGCGACACCGCGAGGCCGCCGATGCCGTCGAAGAGCTCCCCCCGACTAGGATAGTGAGCACCGTGATCACGACTGCATTCGGGATCCTTGGGATAGACATGGTCCAACATCACCGCGGGTCTACAGGCATATTGAGCAGCCGAGTGCCCACGCCGAGGTGGTCAACGACCTGTCTCACGAATTTGAGCGCCAATGCCGCTTCCCCCCGAGGGCTCGTGGACGCGCAGACGCCGCCCCCGAACTCCGAGGCGCCCGGGACCGTGACCATCCCCTCAACGCGGGCCCGAAGAGGTGGCCGCTGTAGGCGGCAACATGAGGCCCCAGAAGCGCTCCTCGACCATCTCGGTATTGTAATGGACCGAAGATCGCGCCGTCGACATGGACCATACAGAGTTGAGGAGGCTGGAAAGCTGACGTCTGAATCCCAAAGCCCGCGCCAACTTGCCGAGGTCCATCATGCACACACGCCAGGGCACCCGCTCCTGCGACCACATCGCGAGGCAAAGGGCAGCGGTACTCAACACCTTGGGGCCTGGCGCTGCAAGCCACCCGCTGACGCCATCCACGACGGCCCCCATGCGCTCAACCCGCGTCTCCCGCAGGTGAGTTCTCCGCCGAGTAGGACACCTGCGCACCTGTAGCTCTCGCGAACGCACTGCTGACAGTCCGCCTCGGCGCCCCCGAACTGTCGCGCCCGCGCCTCGTCCACGATCTCGGGCGCGCCTAAGTCGTCGATGTAGACCTGCCACCAGGCGGCCTCGCAGCCACTGCCCGGCTCGACGATCGGGCGTGCCTCGTCCTTATGCCACTCCAGCTCAGGCGGAAGCCCTGCGCCCCTGGGCGGCGGCAGGCGGCGCAGCCTGCGGTGAATGCGCTGGAAGATTGGGGCCGCCAGCATCCACCCCGTGGCAATCACCGCGGGCGCGACGCATTCCTGCCGCTCGGGGCGCCCGAAGAGCGCGCTAGCAAGAGACCTGCCGACAGCCATGTAGGGGTGCCAGGCCTCGGGGGCCCTCCAGACGAAGAAGGCCCCCCTCTGGTCGTCACCCGTCCACAGCAGCCGCTTGCCCTCGGGGACGCGCAGGGGCGCCCAGCTCGCAGACGGCACGAGGAGCGAAGCTTCACCGACAGGCGGCTCGAGCAGGGCGTTGCCAAGGACCATGTTCAATATCAGCCTGGTGACCCGCTCGCCGCCTGGCCCTGGCTTGCCCTCCTTTGCTACCGCGATGGGCCCGTTCAAGAGCGGCTCGCGCCTGACCCCGACAAACAGGTCCTCGCTTAGCACCGCCGCGATCCTGAGCTCCGCGAGGCGCACCGCGAGCTCATGCCACCCCGCTCTGTCCACGATATTGGCCCTGGCTCGAGGCCTGGGGTCGGGCCAGTCGGCCTCGGGGAGAAGGGCCTTCTCGGGCGAGGCCAGCCACTCGGGAACGTCGTGCTCCACGAAGTCCAGGGCGCCCAGCACTGTGGCATGTTCACGCTGCGGCAAGCCTGACGACGCCAGATCCGCGAGCACGCAGGGCAACGCCTTGGCCACGGCCTCGCCTGAGTAGCCCACGGTCGCCTCGCCGAGGGCCGCGTCGGCGGCGGGCGCGCTCACCTGCTCGAGCGGGCCCCCCACGAAGTCGACGACGCGGGGCTCCAGGAACCCCGTGGCCTGCTGCTGCACCTGGGACAAGATCGGGCGATGCCTCCAACCCTTTCTGCAGCGACCAAAGTACTTGCAATTCAGCGCTGCGACGGCGAGAAGCAACCAGGCCTCGTCAGCTACCTGACGAGCGAAAGGCCTGGCCCTGCACCTTCGGCCAGCATCTCTGCTCGTGCACCAGCGCCTGACAGCCAGGAGACACGGCAGGGGCAACGGCAACAGGTCACGAACGCGCCTGCCGCTCCCGCAAAGTGTGGACACGCGCTCTGCAAATTCTCTCGAGAAAGTCCCCGGGCTGCCAGGGTGGCGCTCACCGAGCTGCACGAGGTGCACTGTCATGTCGATGCTCGTGATGATCGCGCCGAACTGGACCGCGACCTCGTTGCGCCACGCCCCGGCGACACGCGCGGCACAGCCCGCGGCGGGGAGGCCCCGCGTGCCGCGTGGGAGAGAGGCGCTCGCCAGCTCCCGCTGCTGGCCCCCGCTGGGAGGCGCTTCAGCCGCGAAGCGGCTCCTTGCCCCCTCCGCCTCAAGCCAGGGGAAGTCCTCAGACGCCATCAGCGACCCGCTGCCACGGGTCGGGAACCGCGCCGCGCCCTCCCCCTCAGAAGCTGCACCTCCAGCAGCCACGGCAACGTCTGCAACCGCCTCTGGCCGCGCGACTCCGTCGACGTCTCGCCGTCCTTCCCCGGGCAGACAACCCTCGCCGCCTTGAAGTTCCGCGGCGCCTGCAAGCCTCCAGCGGGCAGCGTCTCTGCGGTATTGTCGAGCTGCGCGACTCGCTGATTAGGCGGCGCGTCGCCTGCTCTCGCGCTGCCCTTCGGCGCCCTCGGGCGGGCGGGCGCGCGATTGCCAGGCAGCCGCGCTGTCGCAGGGGGTACCCCCCCGCCTTGCCTGCAGGAGGAGGCGCCAGCGGCGGGCGCGCCTCCTCCAGGCCTCCGCTTCAACTCTGAAGCCTGCGAAGCCGGCTGCTGAGCTCCTCCAGCTTCAACTCGCCAGGCTCGATGCTGCGGATCATCTCCTCCTCCTCGTTGCGCAGCGTGGTGGGCTCGTCCTCGGCGTGAATCAGCTCGAGCCACTTCGCCGCGCCCCAGTGCCCATCGCCGACTGCCACCTGCGCCGCCTTCAGCCGCTAGGTCAGGATGTACAGCGCCTGAAGAATCCTGCCCTGGAGGAGAAAGTCGATCGACTCGGCCAGCGTCCGCATCTCGCGATACGCAGCCACCCCGATCTCCTGCGCTGCGTTCTACGGCAAGTAGGTCGTGAGCAAATACCTCAGCGCAAGCGCCGTCGTCGGGCCCACCGCCGCGTCGGCCTCGACGGCGCCGAGGAACTCTGCCATCTGCATCAGCGTGAGCTCCGACAACCTGCCCGGCTGGTCCCGCGCCATCTACCTGCAATGAGCCCGCTTGGTCGCAAGCCCCCCTGTGGCCGCGGCCCCGTCGGCTGCCCTGAGGGGGTCCGAGGCGGCGCCAGCGCCCGAGCTGCCAGCAGCCTGCGTGGCCGAGCTCTTGAGCGCCGCCATGAGCGCCGTCGCCAGTTCCTTCGCGCCTGCGCCCGCAGCTCCCTCGCTGGCCACAGCCGCAGCAACTGGGCCGCTTGAGCCGCGCGCCGCCTCGGCGCTGGAGGCCTTGGCGACATTCGCCAAGCGCTCCGCGAGCGCCTCGGCGAGGCCACGCTTCTTCGGCTTGCCCTCGCTCGGCCCGCCCTCTGCACTGCCTAGAGGTGCGCCAGCCGCGGCGGCCCCAGGCGCTGCCGAGGCGAACCGGCCCCGCGCCGCAGCGAGCCTGGCCCGCAGCTCGTCCCGCGCGGGCTCCAGGTTGAGCGGGAGGCCTGCAGCCCGCGCGGACAAGGCACTGTCGCCGAGCGGCCCATCGAGGGGAGCGCTGTGGCCCACGGCCGTGCGCTCGGCTGCGCGGGGGCACTGCCGCCCCAAGTGTCGGCGGCGCAGCACTTTCCTTCGTCGGGCGCGCCGACAGGCGCGGGGCGGTCAGCCGCGCCGCACGCGGCCCCAGCAGGTCTGCGGGCCAGACCGCCTCGGGGTTGCGGGGCAAGCAGTTGGAGAAGACCTCGGCGATGTCTTCCGCCTCCAGCCTGCGGGCGTCCACGACGTGGACGAGCTCGTCGCAGCCCGCGGGCGCCTCGACGCCGCGCGGCTCGCCCGCACAGATGTGCAGCAGGGCGCTGGGAGAAATCCCACCCGCCACGCCTGGAGACGCCGCCCACCAGTCCCAGCGCGCATCGTCGGTGAAGAAGAACCTTGCACGCACGAGCTGCTCGGGGGCGCCTGTGACCCGCAGCGCCAGCCACGCGAAATCGCACTGCTGCCCCCCATCGCCGTTGAACCCCGTACTCAAGAAAAACGAGTTCGGCTCGATGACAAGCGGGTCCGCGGGCGACGGCTCCAGCCCCTCCAAGGCGGCCGCAGCCTCGTCGTCGTCCCCGACGACCTCGGGCCCCATGCCGTCGCCGAGCAGCTCCCCGACCGAGGCGACGACGCCGCCTCCGCGAGCATCCATCCCCCGTCCTGGAGTGCGCTCGCGCTCCGCGCCCCGGCGCACGCAGCGTGCCGCGGCCCAGGCCGTCGCCAGGCCGCTCGACGGCGTCGCGCGGGTGCCGCGGCGCCCTGCGATCCTCGCGCCGCGGCGGACGCGCCGCCGGCACTCGGGAGAGGGGGACCTGGCTCGGCGCCAAAACTCACGAGCCAGAGCAGCTCTGGTACGGAGGGTAGACGGCGCAGGGGATACACGCACCAATTGGTATGACCGTACAAGCCTGCATGCGGACATATGTGTGTATGTATGTGTATATATGTACACACATACATACATACATACCTACCTACATACATACATACACACATACATACATACATACACGACCGCCCTGCGGGCGATATATATATATATATATATATATATATATATATATATATATATGTTGGGGGTAAGATCACTTGCCCACCCAGACTGACCTCCAGCCTGTCACTTCAGGCGCCGACAGACATGAATTGATGGATTGGGTTGGGTGGATTGGATTGGATGGGATAAGGTGGATTGGACAAGATAAGATGGGTTGGATTGGAATATGTATTGGATCAGATAAGAAGGATTAGACTGGCCCGCCGCAGGCGCAGAAACAAATGAATTGATGGATTGGGTTGGTGGATTGGATTGGGTGGGATAGTATAAAATGGGGCAATGTAGGCTGGATAGGATAAGATGGATTGGATCGGACAAGACGGATTTGAGAAAATAAGCTGGATTGGATAAGAAAGCCCGCCGCAGGCGCCGACAAAAATGAATTCATGGATTGGGTTAGGTGGATTGGATTGGGTAGGATAACGTGGATTGGAAAAGATAAGATGGGTTGGATTGGAAGAAATGGATTGGACAAGATAAGATGGATTGGATGGGCCCGCCGCAGGCGCAGAAACACATGAATTGATGGATTGGGTTCGATGGATTGGATTGTGTGGGATAAGATAAGATGGGGCAATCTGGGTTGGATAAGATAAGATGGATTGAATTGGACAAGATGGACAGGATAAGATAAGCTGGATTGGATAAGAAAGCCCGCCGCAGGCGCCGAAAACAAAATATGATATCATTGCCCAGCAGAGACCCCCAAGGAGCCGCGGCGATTTCAACATGAGAAAATGTCCAACGCGTTGCCTTCCTCAGGCTGGACCGCGGGGAATCATCGTGGAACGCCCGCGCGCCATCGAATCGCCGCGCGCCGCCTGCCCCCGCCATTGAAACGCGCCGGGCGAACCGCGGAGGCGCGACCAACGCGGCCCCCGAGCCAGGCCGCCACGTGACCGCCATGGAACTCAGCGCCGCAATGACGCTTCATTCCGCAATCGTCGGGCATAACGCCCGCGCGAATTTGGGCGCGAGCAGCCGTCGAAACGCAGACGGAATCGGCGCGCGCGCGCGCAGCCGTCGAGTGGCCAGGTGCTGCCCTGGCCGCGCGGCCGATAGCTTGCGCGGGAGAAACACCTCCCAAGCTGATTCATGATGGAACGCGCCGGCGCGGGACCGACGGACCACAAGAAAGGGCCACTTTGGAGACACCGCGTGAAGAAGAAACGCTCGAGCGCGAGCGCCGTGTGGGGAATTGGCGGGACGCCGGAGGCGGTTGGATCTCATGTCCGCGCAAGTTGAGCAAACTCCGCTTCTGGGGAGTAGCGCTCGTGAGGCCCACCGCGGGCGCGGGGACCGCTGGCGCAGACTCTGCTGCAACCGCGGCGAGGCCCCGGCGCTCTCCCCTGGGGGCCACGGCGCGCGGCTGCGCTGGCGGCGCAGAGGAGGGGCCCGACGGCAAACGTCGGCTTCGAAGCCTCAACGGCCGGCCGCGGGCGCGGCGGTGCAGTCGCAAACCCGCCGCGCGAGGCAGCGCAGCCCGCCGCGAGGGCACCCTCTCCAACCGAGCGGGGGTCCCCAGCGGAGCCCCTGGCCCCCTCCCCGACCCCTCCGCCGCCTTTCCGCGGCGCCCTGCTCCCCCTCCCCGTTCGGCCACGATTTGGGACATTTTTGTTGGCCCCGATTTTGCGGACTTTTTTGGCCTCCCTTCCGCGGGGGCACACTTTTTGGACCACGATTTTTCGCACAATTAAATCAAGCAGAAAAAAGTGTTCAAAATCGCGGGTGCTTTTGTGAAGCCCTGCAAGGGGGCGCAGAATCGTGGCCGAAAATCGCGGGCAAATTCTTGTATAGTCTGATAGGTTTGTAGACTGCAGGTTAAGTGGGAGGGGGTGTGGGCTCAGGTAGCCATTTTGGGTCCGTAGCGTTCGGCTCAGGCCGACGCGCGGGTGTTCAAGGGGGCCGCGGTGCGGCCGTAACCGCAGCCGTGCTAGTCCGCGGACTAGGGGGCGCTGCTGCGGTGCCATGGCTGTGGGCTTCCTTGGGGCGCACCTGATGATCCTGGTTATGGGTGGTACTTTCTCGGTCCAGGGGGCGCTGAGCTGGCTGCCGTTCGGGCGCGCGGGGGGCGAGGTCCCAGCGCCGACGCCGCCAGCCTTGCCCGGACCGGAAGCCCTACCGACAGGCGGTGGGGGGCACGGCAAAGGGCGGGGTCCGCCTGCCAAGCCCGCGCCTGAAGGAGGGAAGGGGCGAGGGCCGCTGGCCAAGCCCCCGGGGGTGCCAGGCACTCCCTCGCCGCCGCAGGCGAGGTCGACGACAAAGACCACCCCTGCGGGCTCTGGGCGCGTAGGCAGGAGCGAGCCCTCGGGCAGCCCTGCTACGCCGGCGCGCGAGGAGGGCGACGGGCCCGTAGGCGCGCCTGGGCAGCCATCCGCCCCGGAGAACCGGACAGGCGATGGCGAGAAAACATCCCAGAGGTCATCCAATAAGTAAATCCATGTGTGGCACTAGAAGGGAGCGTCATAGCGTCGCCCCGCTCACCTCGGCACGCCTCTCACACGGATCGTGGCCCGCATGGAGTTCCACGGACAGTGCCAGGGACAAGGTTCGCATCCCGCCCTCCTGCCTACTTCGGCACACCTCTCACGCGGATCGTGGCCCACAGGGATCTCCACTTACGCCTCCAGAGGCAGGGTTCGCACTGCGACCCCCCCTGGCCATTGCGGCACACCTCATCACGCGGATCGTGCCTCAGCCGCCTTCTCCTCCTCCTCCTCCTCCTCCGCCTCCTCCTCCTCCTCTTCCTCCTCCTCTTCATCATGATCATCCCTCTGGCGTCATTCGTCCGATCGAAGACTGTCGCGAAGCGCTGCAGAGGCGGCAACGTTAATCGTTAATGCACAACTTCTGTAGACGCCAAGCACACGATTGAAACATCTCCTGACCGCGAGGCTACAACTCAGCCGTCTACGGATGCGGTCTGGCAGCCCTCCCGATATGTCGTTGTTTCTTCCCCCCATGTCGCTATCTGCTGCTCCTCCCCCTGCCCTTCCTCGTCCTGCCTTCTAACCTGACCAGCAAGCTCAATCGCCGTTTGTACAACACGAAATATGCGGAGCAGGAGGGGAACAAGACCCGCAACGGTGATTAAGGAGGTGCGAAGGAATAAGAACGAGAATAGCTATCGCACATGCGCGGAAGATACCAACTACTTAGATGGGCATCCTGTCGCGGCTGCGGATTAGGCGGTCCAGAGAGCCGACTACCCTTAAGTTGATCTCCTTGTCCTTGGCGTTTGTGACCAAGATGTCCTTTTGAGACAGGATGTGGATAGCCGTCTGCGCATCAGCATGGTGCCAGCTGTCGAGTACAATGACGGTGCAATTCAGTTCCTTTGCTGACTCGATGCCGTGGACTTTCAATCGGAGCCGATCCTCGGTAGCTGGCACTAGCCCGTCCTCCGTTACCATCTTGGTGGCGATCCAACACTCCACGTTTGGCCAAAAGCGTTGATTATAGATACGCTCATACAGCACAATAACCGTGCAACCGAGAAAGATGAAGGGTAAGATGTTCTCCAAGATCATCCTGAACTCCTCCTCCTCCTCATCGGTCCGCCCGCCACCGTGCCATTGAGGTGCACATACCCAATCGATCCATACAAACTTGATCGACGGGCTCTTTGCTAATATGTCTTGCAACTCACACAATTTGCTGCCGTTCGGATCGAAGTGTTCTGGCTCTGGCCAACGGTGGGACACTGCTGCTGTGTCAGCAACAAACCGCCCACCAAACACATCCTCCAGGGTCATGGTCCGCTTTACCAACAAACCAAGGTCCCTCAACACTTGGTGGCGGAAGACGGGCTTGTTGCGCGGCATGCTCATGAGTGCTGTCACTGGGAGAAACCAGAAGTCCATGGTCTCCGGCAACTCATCCTTCTGGTCAGGCTGGTGCTCATCAATCTCCGCGTCCAACTCCGACACGCTGATCTCAATCTGCGCGTCGCGCATGCCGCGGTCGTGCGCTGGGCCCCTGCCACGGCCAGGACATCCGTGCCTCATCAGACAGCCCACGCCCAGCGCGACGCAGGCCAGGAGGAAGATCACGGCACCAGCGAAGACTGCAAGCAATCCCTCGGAGTCTCGCTGCTCCTCGGCCCATGGCGCATTGATCGAATAATTACCGCCCAACACAGTCGTTGCGGTTTGCACCGTATTGGTGGTGGCTGTGGTGCTTGAGGTGGAGGAGCTCGTGCCTGTGGCCGTCCTGGTGATCGTCGTGGTGGTCGTCTTGGTGGTACTGCTGCTGGGCGAGGCGGAACTCGTGCCCGTCTCGGTGGTTTTTGTGGCTGTCTGCGTGGCAGTGGTGGCCGTCTGGGTGCTTGTTGTGGTCGCCGGCGGCGTAGGTGCTGGCGTCGGTGGCGGCGTAGGTGCTGGCGTCGGCGGCGGTGGCGGCGTAGGTGCTGGCGTCGGCGGCAGTGGCGGCGTAGGTGCTGGCGTCGATCTCCAGCCGCCGCCGCAATCACAACACATATCATAGGCCGAGAAGTCCCAATCATCATACAAGCGCGGACAGTCAATCAAGGCGCTGACAATCCCCGAGCAACCCTTACCCAACATGTCTGTAGCTCCGTAGTCAGTGTCCGTGCAGGGCGTGCCGCCGCCGCATGCACAACACATCTCAGTGGCTGGGCCCCAATTTTCATCTATCCAGGTCCACTCCTGGGACTGACACGAATAATACATAAGGAATTTGTCGCATCGCTCAAGGTGATATGAGGGGACGGTGTCCCAACATTGCTGCCGAAGGGTGCCCTGCACGATTCCGAAGAGGGACATGAAGACGACAGCTGCGTGGGGGGAAATCATACCGAGCACGCAAGCGGGCTAGATGAACGACTGTTGGCAAGCAGGAATAGCACCTGTACCACCGTGGTCTGAGTCGAAATGCTTTGAGATTGAACCACCGTGCGTTTAGCCAAAGTGTGCACGGCACAGCAGCAGCAGCAGCAGCAACAGCATCAAATCATTGTCGTCATCATCATCATCATCATCATCATCAGCATCATCAGCATCATACTCCTCCTCATCCTCATCACCATCGTCATCAACATCAGCATCAGCATCAACATCAACATCATCATCATCATCACCATCGTCATCAATCCCATCATTATCATCATCGCCCTTCCTCCTCGTCGTCCCAAAAACTCCGCCCAGTCGCGCCACCAGACGTGTCGTCAGGCCGTCAGGGCAGGCCCGGCGTTTCGCAGAAGACTGGTTTACGGCCTACGACACCGAAGCTTGTAATCCCCAAAGCATGTACATTGATGGAGGGCGAACTGTTCTTTTCAAGGCGGTGCTATGACCGCGCGCACTCGTCTTCAATATGTCCAACATGTACACGTATGAAAAGCACATCGTTTTCGCAATGCGGCGCTCGCCCTGGCACCGCGCACGCTGGTCTTGAGCAGTTCCAAGAGATACGGTGTTGGAGGGCGGGTCGTTGTCAAAATCTGGCCCTCGCATTGGAGCCGCGCGCACTCGTTTGAAACACCCCAGCGGATACGCGGATGAAGAGCGAATCGTTTTTCAAATGGGGTATCGCCTTGGCGCCACGCACACTCGCCCTCAAAAACAAAACTTGCACGGATGAAGGGCGAATCAGTTTACAAAACTTCTTTTTCGTCATGGCGCCGCGCACGATGCTTCTAACAACATCTATGCGCGCACCTGGATCGCCTTGAAACCCAAGCCCGAACGGCCCTGAGATCGGCCTCAGGACTATGCGCGAAGCCCTGAGGCCCGGGCCCGTCGGCCTCAATGCTATGCGTGAACGGCCCAGAACACCCTGAGGCCCAGGCCCGAGCGACCGAGATCGCCCTCCCCCTCCCCCTCCCCCCCGTCCTTCCCGTGTTCCTCTCCTCCCGCCCCCCTCCTCCCCGCTCTCCTCCCGCCCCCTCCCCCCCCCCCGGCCAGCCGCCCAGGACTATGGTCCTCGGTGCGCTCGGCGGGGCAGGTGCCGTCCCCGCGCTGCCTCCACGCCAGCGTGCTGCGCCGCGCCGTCGCCGCAGCGCGAAACCCAGGCCCGAAAGACCCGGATCGGCCTCGGGGCCACGCGCGGACGACCTGGATCGCCCTCGGGCCCGCACGGAACCCGCTTCGCATTGTGGCCCCCCCCCCCCTTTCCAAGGATCTGATGGAGACCCGGTTCAGATCGTGGCTCCCGTCCAAGAATCTGACGGAGTCCCCGTTCACGTTGCGGCCCCCTTCCACGGACCTGACAGTCCCAATTCAGATTGCGGCACCCTTCCAAGGATATGACGAAGTCCTGGTTCAGACTTCGACCCCCCTCTGATCTGACGGAGTCCGGGTTCAAATTGCGGCCCCCTTTTCCAAGTAATTGACGCAATCCTGTTTCAGATTGCGGCTCTCTTCCACGGATCTGATGGATGCCCGGTTCAGATTGTAGCTCCCGTCCAAGGATCTGACGGAGTCCCCGTTCACGTTGCGGCCCGCTTCCACGGACCCCAGTTAAGATTGTGGCATCCTTCCAAGGATATGACGAAATCCTGGATCAAATTGCGCCCCCTCTTGGACCTGATGGAGCCCCGGCTCCGATTGCGGCCCCGTTTCCAAGGATCTGACGGAGTCCTGGTTCAGATTGTGGCCCTCTTCCAAGGATGTGATGGAGACCCGGTTTAGATTCTGGCCCCCCGGGATCTGATGAAATCTGGGCTCAGGATGCGGCCCTGCGGCCCCCCTTAGGACTTAGGAGCACTCCTCACCTAGATTTCCCAAGCAAGACGGCCGCGGAGGCCCCCAAGAAAGGAGAGAGTTTTCAAGACCCGGGGAAATCAGCTCACACAAAGCAATGATCTGGAGCGGGTGCTCAACTCAACCTCCTTGCCGTTGCGCTGCTGCGCTGGCACGGAGGCGGGTTTTGCCGCAGGCAGCTGGGTAGCTTGCGCCACACGCTTTCCGAACGGAGAACCGTGGATGACGATGCCGATCATGGCCATGATGCCTATGGCGACGCCCGTGCTCAGTACGCAGAACCACTGAAAAGGGGGCCTGCGGTGGGGCAGACACGCTCCCAGAGTGCGCAGTGAAACAGAGGCCACCGAGGTCGATGGCGCCTGGGCGGGCGGCAGGCGCGCCGACCAGCCGGGTAAGCGAACCAGAGACAGCGCCGGGAGCGGGCAGCTCCACGCTCGAGGCAGCTAGTGGCTGGCAGCAGACCGCGGAGGGGGCACTTCGCCGCCCAAGGGCGTCTTGGCGGGGTGGAGGTGCAGGGCGATGGGAGAGGCAAGAGACGGCATGACACTCAGGAGCAACGAGCTCTCTCCGCTGGTCAGATCTGCCCCCGTGGTGGACGACGGGATGCTGTCCAAAAAATGGTGCTGCTGATCAGTTCCTGGAATCGGCTCCCGGGTGGGGCCCTCCGAGTCCGTCTTGGGGCCGTCTTGGGGGTCTTGCCGAACACTCTCGGGGCCGCTTCGGGCCTTCCCGTGCCCATGCGGGGCCATCGCGGGCCGCCGTGGGACGGTCTACGGAGGCCCGCCTTGGCCCCCTGTCGGGGCCCTCTTGCCGCAAAAGCCCCGATGTCGGCAGCCTCAGACGCGAACCCGCAGGCAACGGCTTTGGCCTTCAACGAGTTTTGCTCTCGCTGACGCTGTGTGGGGGGCCATTTGAACATCATCAGGAGGCGATTGGGAACCGTCTCAAAGCTACTCCTGTGGGGTGGGGTGGGGCAGGGTACCCACCCGGAGCACGGGGAGGTCGCCGTGGAGGAGGGCGCCACTGTGGCAGAGCCTCTAAAAATCTGGGAGTCACGCCCCGAGGCAACGCAAGCAAACCACCGCGCGGGCCAGAGCAGCCATCCACAGAGCCCAGTCCTCTGGCCCACGGCAGGCTGCGGGGAAGGCACCTGCTGGCCAAAGCACGGTGCAGCGAAGGTCGCCCCCCCCCCCTCCAGGCCAGACTTCCGAGACCAGGTCACGGTGCAACGAGGGCCGCCTCGCCTCCAGGCCAGAACTGCGGGGCCAAACGACGGCGCCCTGGAGGCCAAACGAATCCTCTGGGTGGCAGCGGGCAGGGCGCCCGTTCCGCGGATGTATCCGTGGAGCCCTCTGGGGCCGCGGGCCGCACAGAGTGAGGAGGGCGTCCCCAGGAAAGCGCAACACGAGAAAAGGAAGCGTCTCTGGCCCTCCTGGGTGCCGTTTTGGAGCTGTTCGGGTCCGCTTCCACGGTTTTGCGGGGCGCCCTGGGGGCGCCCCGGGGCTGGTTGGGTGCCTGCTGGCCGTCTTGGGAGCCGTCTTGAGGCTCTCGTGGGCCGTCTTGGACGCATCTGCGGCCGTCTTGGAGCCCTCGTGGGCCGTCTTGGGTGCCTCTTGGGGGCCTCTTGGGGCGTCTTGGGTCGGTCTTGTGGGCGTCGTCTTGGGCCGCTGTGGAGCGACGGACAGCCGAAGGGTCGCGCATGTTGAAAAGTTATGCTTTCGTGAAGGAATTAGGCGATGTTGGCCTCTGGGCGCTCTCTTGGGCGATCGTGGGGGCCTCGGCCGTTTGTGGGGCATCTTGGGCGTCTGGAAGCTCTCTGGGGTAGTCTTCCCAGGGCTGGAGCGTGTCTGGAAGCAGTCTGGGAGCGATCTCCGGGCACCCCTGGGACCCCTTGTTCCCACATGGAGGGTCGGGGCACCTGTTTTGGGACAGCGGACCTGCCCCCCCCAGGATGCGTGTGTGTATATATATATATACACCTATACGACCACCCTTCGGGTGATAAGGAGGTTCGGGGGGGGAGGAACCAACGTCTCACTCGATCGGTCTCACTATCGATCTCACTATCGGTCTCGCTCGATCGATCTCACTCAATCGATCTCACTCGATCTATTTCATTCGATCGATCTCACAATCGATCCGACTATCGATCTCACAATCGATCTTACTATCGATCTCACATGCGGTCTCACTATCGATCTCACTATCGATACCACAATCGATCTCACAATCAACGTCATCATCATCATCATCATCATCATCATCATCATCATCATCATCATCATCATCAACATCATCGTCATCACCGTCATGGGGCTCTGTGTGGGGCCTTTGGGGCCACCATGGGGTCCTCTTGGAGATCTCGTCGGCCGTCTTGGGGCGGTTTCGGGAGCTTTTGGGGCCGTCTTGGACGCGGCAAGGTCGAAGTTACGAATATGTCAAAAATTGGCATGTTCCAAAGGCAATGAGAAGATGTTTGCCTGTTGGGGGTCGTCTTCGAGGTCTTTAGGGCCGTCCTGGAGGCCTCTTGGGCCATCTTGAGGTCACGTCGGTCACCCTTGGAGCGCTCTTGTGCTGTCTTGGGGGTCTCATGATACTTTTAATCAGCTTGGGGAGGAGCCTTGTCTAGAAGAGAGTGCCGCACCACAGTTGGGCACGTCTAACACTATGTTGTTTCCACACGCACATATATATATATATATATATATAAACAAAAAAACAGCTTGGGGAGGGGCCTTGCCTAGCAGAGGGTGCTGCACCACAGTGGGGCACGTCGAGCACCAGGGATGCTGTCCATATAACAAATCAGCCTGGGGAGGGGCCTTACCTAACAGAGGGTGCTGCACCTCGCAGGGGCACGTGTAACACCAGGGATGGTAGTTTTAATCAGCTTGGGGAGGGGCCTTGACTAGCAGAGGGTGCTGCACCACACTGGGGCACGTCTAACACAAATAATGATATGTTTATTCAGCGTGGGGAGGGGCCTTGCCTAGCAGAGGGTGCTGCACCTCGCAGGGGCACGCCTAACACCAAGAATGCTTGTTTGAATCAGATTGGGGAGGGTTCTTGCCTAGCAGAGGGTGCTGCACCACAGTGGGGCACGTCTAACACCAAGGATGCTGCTTTAGTCAGCTTGGGGAGGGGCCTTGCCCAACAGAGAGTGCTGCACCACACAGGGACACGTCTAGCATC